CACAAGTAGAACTTGCATTAAGTCTTTCACAAGCAACAAAATAACACATAGAGTTTGTATTATCGTTACATTACATCATAAACACATCGAACAAATGTTCTCAATGAGATTGTGGTACTAGTTTAATGGGACAGTGGACAACTTTTTATCTGATGAAAGTTCTGATTCCTGCCAGGAGCAGTAGGAACCATCTCCAAATGTTGCTGCTCCGGGTCAGGACCTTCTCTGGAGGAGTTATGGCCCTCTGCATGTTTGGGTGGAGGTGAAACCGAGACGCCCAGAGGAAACACACCGAACATGGGGAGAAAGAACCAAACCCCACACAGACTCAAACACACAAACTATTGTGTTTTATTTTTTACTGTCTTTCATGCTGTGTATGTATATTTGAAAAATGAACCTTATTTATCTATTTTTTAATAGTATTTCCCCTTCTTCACTGAAAATAGCAGATAAATGTAAACGTACTCAGCTGTCATCCTGCCTAAACAGTGTGTATACATAATATATTTAAAATTGCACTCACCTTTGGCTCTCCGCGGGCGGTTATCCCTCTCTAAGCTTGGGTCCTCTACCAGAGGCCTGGGAGCTTGAGGGTTCTGCGCAGTATCTTTGCTGTTCCTAGCACTGCACATTTCTGGACCCAGATGTCCGAGGTTGTTCCAGGGATCCGCTGTAACCTCTTCTAGCTTCGGGGTCACTGCCCCGAGTGCACCGATCACCACGGGCACTACTGTCACCTTTACCCTCCAGGCCCTCTCCAGCTCCTCTCTGAGACCTTGGTATTTCTGTACTGTACATACAGTATATACATAGTAATGAAAGTGTAGGGGTCCTGTGGGGTCCAATATATTTGCTTTCATAAGTGTCTAAATTGCAAATGTCATAAAACAAGCAAACAGAACAGATTTTTAAAAAATATCAAATTTTAATTTTGGTTATAAAAGTTGTATTTTCACATGCACACCCACACATATAGAATCACATTAAATACTGTTCGGGATGTCTCTCTTCTTATAATATTCTTTTTTTAGAACTTGATCCACAAAGCAAGCACATACAGCTGATCTCAAAGACACTGTGGACAGACGCTGAACGCACAAGGAGAGGATTCAGTGCACGAAAAGGCTGCCGTAAAATCATGTACAAACATTTAGAAAGTATGTACAGAACAATGATTACAAAAAGAGCTACAGCCGCACTCTCACTGCTAAAGTAGAAACAAGACATTTAAGTCTTTTATTCTGATGTCAAAACAAACAAAAACATGACTTTGGAAGAAGAAGAATGACAGGCTGAAATCATTATGTTAAATGCAGGTATTTAGCTGTTTTTTGTGTTGTACTTTCTGTGAAATAATGACATCCCACAAGAACTTCCATGTAATTTTTAAATCATTATTTGACTAATACAAACACAATTAAAGGGACAGTAATATACACTCTTACTGTACTAAAAAAGTCGATACAATTACAATCCAACTCTTGTTTCTGAATCTTCCTGTCAGTCACATGGGACATCCTCATCACTGATTAGAGTTGGAATCCGCCGCTGAGATTTAATTGGAAATGGTACAAACTCTGTGTTACGTTTTAATACTCAACTTAGTATTATTATTATGCTTATATCTGCTTTCATTTCTTTGTGAATTGTATTTCAAAATCAAAACATTGAGCCAGGATCAGCTGAATTCCACCGAACAAACTGGCATTTCATTCTGCTCTCCGATCAGAGGAGCTACTTGATACTTTTTCACTACAGTCCATTGTACCTTTATTTAAGAATGACTCTTCCTCCACGTCTGATTTATACTTGTTGACGTATTGTCTGGGGACGGATTATATACAAACTGATTGATCAATATGGTTTTGGAAAGAGTCTGAAAAATGTTATGGTTGTTTGGTGGAATTATCTTGTCTCTGGAGTTTGTGTGGGTTCACAAACTTTTCAGACCTGGGCTAAAAAATAAGCTTAAATGAAACCAGCAATGATTTATAGCATCAAATAAAATGTTTGAGTTATTTGAGTAATGTGTTTAATGCATAATTTCACTTAAAACAACTGAGCTTTACTGGTTTTACCTACTGCTATTTTAATAATGTTTTTCTTCTCAAACCACGGCTCAATTGAATGCATTCACTTTAACCAAACAATATGAGAAAATGATTTAAAAACATCATATACAAAACATAAATAATTTGGCATTTTTGCACAACGTAGATTCCCCTCGTCAAGGCTCCATAGTTCATTTCTGATTTACAGACCATGTCCCTATAGAGTTTAACCCTGTTTTATTTTTACACACACACACACCATGACGCATCTAGTCTGTGCGACTAAACATATGGGTCAGCCCCAGATTAGACACAACTCGACAGATTTACAAAGTGATTAAAGCTATGACACAGCTATCCCCGAGGCTTTTTCACCTTCTTAGAATATCCGCACAGATATAACTTCACAATAGATTATGCTGTATTTTCGTAAAATTCAATTTGCTTTTCACAGATATGCATATAATCTTAAATAATAGAAATAAAAACAAAAAACAAGGACTTTCTGGGAAGTGTTTGAAATCTGTATTTTTCAGTGCGCCCTTTTTTGGAACTCAAGGTGCTTCGTATAATTCTTATGTATTTATGCAAGATATTTGTATCATAGACTGTATATAGATGGATAACCTAGCTCAAACAAGCCCAGTAGAAACAATTTTAGGTAAAGAAACACCAAAAATACTGTGGTTTAGTGCTCCCATGATCCGGGTGTTTATATTTCTTGTATTCTCTGTGAAGCCAAAATATGAGCCATAAGGATTGATCAATCAGATGCCTTCCGTCATGGGGGAAACCCAACTTGTCTTAGCAACCACGTGAGCACCACATTATGGCACAAAACAAATGCTCATAAAAATATAATTCAAATCGGCTTCCACAATATGCGGCAAAGACTATGGATGCAGACTAGACTGGCCTTAGCTATCCGTAAGCTCTGGTCAGTTACAGTATCATTTCCCACACAATGGTCCCTCCTAATGTACGGCCTTTGATTTGTATGCACACATTATTATTGTGAATATATGAATACATCAACAGTCCAAACAATTATGTGGCACACATCCTGTAGAGACCCATTGACATGACTTACATGATTTTTCTATCGTCATTGATTTACCCATAAGCCTTCAGCGCCACTAGCAAAGTGCTGGTGCTATGGCTTACTTTCCCCACACTTTTCACTTTCAAAGAACTTGTATGAATGATTTTCTAAAAGAAAACTTGGAAAACAAATTCATTACATTTTCAAACTGCTAAAATGGGATTTGACAGTGAGCTCTTTTATTTTTTGTTGTGTACAACTCAAAAGTGTGCTGCCAAGAGGAGCAGAGTTGATTCAATATGTCGGCTGAGTCATATCTCATATTCTTACAGCCACAGAAACCCACACACATTTACCAAACTTGATCCAACTCAAATTTGACTTTAGATACACTTCTGCAAAAAGCAACCGCTCCAACATCTCTGGTTGTCTTTGATTTCCAGGCCCTGACTTGGCCTTCAGCAGGAATTATAGTGGACAAAGAGCCTGTGTGCAGCAGCACATCTCCACAGACATCTACATTATGGCCTCTCTGGAGGAAAAAGAAAAGGTGCCAACTTGAAGGCATCACTTGAATAGACACACAACTGACATCCACCTTTCTTTGTGCGATAGATGGAACCATTACACACACACACACACACACACACACATACATACGCACAATTAGGTTTGGAACTTGGCGTTTCATGACAACTGTGATAGCAATAGAGATTAAGGTGAAAGGAAAGGCAAATATGCAGCAAAACAACTACTGTCCACTGCAATTATAGCAACAATGTCACCATTGTTTTCTTTCGAAAGGCCACAGTGACAGTCTGAGCTTGTCTGATGTTCTGTTCTGGCTTAGATTTAATGCCCAATTTTTGCCTTGTTCACAACAGAAAAATGACAGACACGTTTCCGACAACGATGCTACCTATACTGCACCAAATAAAGCCTTGGTTTAGTGGATAGCAGCCAGCATTAGTTATGAAATGCCTTCATATAAATGCCTATATCTTCTTTAGTTTTGACTTTTCATTTAAAGCAGATTCAGAATGCATTGTTACCTCATCAAAAGCAGCCCTGGGATTGTTTGTTTTTTAGATCCATCCGAGCTAATGAGGAATGCATCCGCCCTGTAACAGTATGACATTTGACCACTTTGACATCAAAAGTGTTGTTCTTAAATAATGTGGGCAATTAATCAGGTGACATTACCTTCTTCATAATTGCTTGGCTGTGAAGCCGGAAATTCATACATTTGGAAAAAGTTTCATCTTTTGTACTCAATTTTTTTTTACTAAAGACGTTATTTCACATTCTAAAAGTCTTATTGTAATTTCAATGGCCATAAAATAATGCATAATGTTTCTACTTTGAAATAGTTTTGGTATACAAAACTGTTACCTGCAAATAATGTACCCCACAAAATTAAGGGAAAAATATTAACTAAATTGGCAAAACGTTTGGACCAAACTTGGCCAGATTGTCTCCATGCAGCGGCCGTTTAATCAAATAAAATCAGTTGTTATAACTGCAGACAGAAGGAAACTAATTTACATTAGATGTTTTAAAATGAGAATGATGTTCTAAACGTGGTCAAATTTGCCATTTAAATCAGATTTGCTTTTCTTTGTTCTCCAAACCTGTTTTGTAATGAGGTTGATCTGTAGTTTTTTTTTTAATGAATATCCAAGTTATTTTTCTCTTCATCATTCTTTTGTGTCAATCATATTGTGTGTCTAAATGCGACCTCAGGGAGAAAATAATTGTGTTTGTAACTGGACTGTACAGAATTGATTGACACCTATCACCACACATGAAGAACTGGTTATATTGAGATTCACTCCCGGAGATGACTCTGCTGTACTGATTGTGTCAATGCAATGCACAGGGCCCACAGAAGTGTAGCCTCTCCTCTATTTCACAGGGGAAAGTCTCTTGAGCAGCTTTTTGCCTTTAGACAGCAGTCCCTTCTTCTTCCTGTTCAGATCTGGTGAGTCTCGGCGGTCCATGGGGAGGTGGTGGGCTCTGGTTGGGCTCAGAGGTCTCATGGTGCCGGGGAGAAGTGGGCGGCTGATGGGTGATGGCGCCCGGATCGGAGTGGCGTTGTTAATGACGGTGTCGGAGGCTTCAGAGGCGACCTGAGGACAAAGGCAGTGATGTGGGGGCACGGGGGGTTAGAAAAGAACTCCACACACTACGAGCTTCTCATAAAATGTTTTAACTTGTGCTAAAGATACTTTTTCCAACTTTCTGTTTAAACTATGTGCTCTAACTATTTTTATGATTCATTTAAGACATGTTCCAAGTATGATAATTATCACCATAATGGAGCAGCAAAGGGGCTGGAGCTTAGAACGACAGAAGTCACAGTTTTTATCAGTCGTTATGGTGTATTTTTCACATCGTTCTTCCCATTTGCACAACAGTTGCATTTCTCAGAACGATTAGAGCAAACTGCAAGACCTCGAGGATAACCTTCTAAAAATGAAAAGTTAATTCCTCAAAAGCACCGTGTCAATGAAACTGTCTGTGTCGTCAAAATATAAGTCCTGATTCCAGTGTGTATGAACAACAGTCAAATGACTTTGTCACGTTTTCATTGTGACGTTTTACTCTCTCTGTGTTTTCAGTGTAAAAAAGTCAGATCTCGGTGACACTTGGTGAGTACTATACACTGTACAGCCAAAAACTACAGTAAAGTTACACATGACTGTATTTAGAGACGTAACTGAGTACAAGACACATATGTATGTACTGTATGTGTGTATGTGTGTGTGTGTGTGTGTGTGTGTGTGTGTGTGTGTGTGTGTGTGTACTGTATGTATGTATGTATGTACTGTATATATGTATGTATGTACTGTATATATGTATGTATGTACTGTATATATGTATGTACGTATATATGTATGTATGTACAGTATGTCTGTGTACTGTATGTCTTTCACATATTTACTGCTCTTTGCAGTTCTACAGAATAGTGCAATAAAAATACTGTCACATGTGTGTACGTAGAGCAAACAAACAGAATATCATGATGGTAGAACTGTGACAAATGTAAACAATAAAACACACACCTCCTCATGAGTGAAGCTGAAATTCACTTGAGAGACAAAAATAATAATAAAGGAATGCATGAAATTATCTTGACAGATTTTGGTTTTGAACCAGTTCAACAGTTTTGTTTGTGACGACTCAAGCGATGAAATGAGAACTATTGGTTTTATAGTGAAAGACTGTTCAGAAGTGATAAGTGTGTTTCACTCTGTCCGACAGGACAGAAGCAAATGATCATGTTATAAAACAGCAGAGAATTGTATGAAAGTAACTGATACATGAACAAAAGCATTTGTAAAGTGTTCAAAGGAGAAACTGCTGCGATGATGTCACACATGACTCAGTGTTGTGGAGGTTGAACTAATAGTTTTGAGAACTTTAAGTCTGAGAAATGCACCAAAGCGACTGAGAAAAACTGCAAATGAACTATTGAAAATCCCCAACGTAGTTTTAAAAATGACAAATATCAAGACACGACAGAGGCTAACCAGATACCCACTACCTGCTATCTACGGTGCGGTGGTAATCTTTAGTAATATTTATTTATATACCGCCTTTTCACTGCACATCGGAGTCTCAAAGCGGTTTACAATTGTTATTTTTGGGAGTGGGGGTGCCAGTACAGGAGGCACATGCCAGACCTATTGTAAATATTTTTAGTGGTAGGGGAAACCGGAGCACCCGGAGGAAACCTACGCAGACACGGGGAGAACATGCAAACTCCACTCAGAAAGGCCCTGGTCCAACCGGGATTTGAACCCAGGACCGTCTTGCTGAGAGGCGAGAGTGCTATCCACTCAGCCACCGTGCCACCCGTTTTGGTGAAACCATCAAAACCAGTAAGAACATTTTGAAATGTTGAAATCAATTTATGTAGATCGTGTGGTCATTACTCACCAGAGAAAGGATCACCCCAAACACATTTTTAATATTTTAAAATAATCATAATATTTCTAAATCCTTAAGGGGTTTTTCCCTTGGGAATTTTACTTCCTGAAACCCTAAGCTCTGCCCGCTTTGTATTTCCACACACTTTGTTCAATTAAGTCTTGAAAAATGAAAAGGATTCTTAAATGAGATTGTGTGCATCTAATCATACAAAAAAATCCGCCACAGTAAGTAGTTTGAAGTGTACTTAGTCAAAAGACTGTATAATAAAAGTTCTACAGTATTAATAACATTTACTGTGTACAAGATGGTTCTTCCACATATTATGCAGCCCTTAAACCTTTGCATATAATTCGTCATAAAACAGATTTAGTGACATAATACATTATTGTGTGTAATCCTGATTATTCTCACACGTACACAGCGGGACATAATGCAGAACCACGACCACCACTGCAGAAGGGAACACCAAAGATACACAACACCCAGCAACACAACTGTAGATACCAGTCTTCAGATCTAATGCAAGGGCTTGATGTGTTTTGTATATTAAAAAGAGTATAGAACATTTAAAACATATTTGCAATGACATTTAGGGGAGACATCAGTTGTGTGCATTAGAGTGGGTCAAGTTTGGTATCTCAAGTTGCAGACTCACTGAGGCAGACTTATGGTGTGAAATGAGCAAATCTTCTTCTTTCGTTTATTTTGTTTTGCCAAGCGGGTGAGAATAAACCAAAGAAAGAAATCATATGTGGCAGCAAAGTCACTGTTGGTAAAAAAAACCCACACCACTATGAGAACTGAAATAACCACAACAACAACAACAACACAACACAAAGACACGCAGAGCAAAGAGAGAGCTTTTAGTATCCAATCCTCCTTCCTTTATTGTTCACTTAAAACAATACAGAATAGATCTCAGTGCTGCGATTTGTTTCGTCTGCCGAGCTCCGAGCAAACATGACAAATCCACGGACAACAGGATTGTTTGATGTGTGTGCAATCTACATCAAGAAACAACGCCTTTTTTAAGGAAATACATCCACGAAAGTTATAAAATGTATCAAGTTGTACTTTTGCAAAAGGCATGCTTCCTCTTTGATTTGTGTTAATGGATAGCAATCTGTGTTAAATAATAATTAACCTGTCATTTTTATACACAACAACCATAGTTTGTGTTTCAGTGCAAATTCTCACATGTAAGGAGTGGCTTTTTGTAAGTCCTCCTTAAACCAGTGCTACATGCAAAACTCTTCCACAAAGCAGCGTCTCTCTCTCTCTCTCTCTCTCTCTCTCTCTCTCTCTCTCTCTGTCAGGCGTTGCTTCTTTCTTGTCTGAGACTCAGAAAGGGTGTTTGATTGGATTTTCGTCCCTCTTTCTCCGAAGGGGGGAGAGGGGCAGGCGGTAGTAGTAGAAGTGGGGAAGGTTGTTAGTTTGTAAGAAGTCACCACGGTCACCACAAGAACAAACAAACACACATGGACTGCACACAGAAGCGAGAGAAAGAGGCCGAGGATGGATGAACACAGGGCCCTAGCGCTGACAGCGGCGATGGTGATGTACCCGTTTGCCCTCGGGGACCGTGCTGCTGGTGGTGGAGTTGGCAGGGGGCCGGTGGACGGGCTCTTCCTGGGGGTAGTGGGATGGAGTGTCAGTTAAATACACCTCCACGTCATCAGGCACTTCTTCCAGGAAGTTAGAGGGAACCAAACCGCGGTGGCCATTCATCTCGCCCTGGAAACACAGAGGTTACGTTAGCGCGGCGTGGATTTTGGTTTTGTACTGAATGTGCCTTGGTGTTCTGCAGTAACATGTTCACGGTGCTTGTCGACTTTAAAGCCTTCCCATTGAAAAGTCTTATTGTTACTTTTTCCATAGAAACATGAATAAATAATGTGTATAATCTTGTCATTTGTATTTGACCTTTTCTGAACAATGCAGAAAAGGTACTTCTCCAACTACTTGACAACGGAGACAGCAGTTCCTTCTTCTTCTGGTGTTGGATATCCACGACATATTCTCAAGCCCCCCCCCATGGTCCTGCCTCTGACATACCAATTTCAGAATGCTTTTAATCTAGTCTGGCCTTATCCATCCGTACACTCCGCTCAATCATCATCTCACTGTAACGTCTGGGTCTGGTCCCTGTGTTAGAGAATACAATCGGTTGAATTTCGACCGACCAATCAGAGAGCACGGAAGGCGGGTGTTGTAGTTAGTTGCGGGTGACATCAAGCCAAGTCTGCATCGAACGGTAAGGTTGTAGTTTGGCAATGGCGAAGAATGCGATAGTAAAGTAATCCGGTCTGGTTCTATCAAGAAATTGAAGCCGGAGCAATAGGAATGTTTAGCAAATGTAAATGCTAGAAGAAATTGTGGCGCTGCTCCCCACGGGCTCCGTTAGCGGCAAAGGAGATGGCTAAAGCTAGGCTAAATGCTAAATGCTAACGACTCACTCGGACGCATTACATACATCACAGTAAACTCAGATCCAATCGTTTCCATCTGCAAAAAGAGTTAACCCCTCCCACCTGTTCACGGAGTCAATGGAGCAAATCCAGACCTTAGTACGAAATGTCATTTGTACTATGGTGTGGTACGACCGGGCTACTTTTAAGCTTGTAAAAAATTTAAAAGCTGTAAAATTGACTCCAGAGTAGTCAATTTGACTGCTTTTAGTTTCGGAAGCGTAATCAATCATCTCATGTGCATTCTTGGTCTTCATAACTTATCTTTTAATGAAATTATCTTTTACTTTTGATATGTGAGTAGTTCTACCTTTAACTGATTTTCCACTTGAGAATAGCAAGTGATAGTTACCATGGCAACACACGGTTTACGGTAAAGAAAGTATCCTTTTAGCTGTATTTCAGTTGGAGTCATAATGAACCGTTTGAGCAAGTGAATAAGGTAAACCCTTATACATTTCTTTCTGGTGAAAAACTAAACATTCTTTGGGTGAATTCAATTGTTTTTAAAATAAACCATAAACAGAATTGTTCTTGTGGTTTCAGAATTCTGTGAGTCCTCCTAGTGTTGAACAAGTTGACAGGATAATGATTCTAATATCAATCGCAAACCAAGTAACGAATGAGTTTTCATGTTGTTTTAATTGGAATGTTGTCAGAAATGGAACTTCTACTTCAAATGTATGACAGGATAGGATTTCTAGAAATGTAAAATCTTTGTCTAAACCTGGCGTGTCGTCACGGTTGCGCTTCACGAAGGCTGTAATGTAATGTACACATGATCAGTTAATGAAACATAACAAACAAACATTTTGCTTACATAATAAAAGCCATCTTCATCAATATCTCCGTACACAGCGAGGATGTCCCCGGCACAGAAAGTCAGCTCGGCCTAGCAGAACACAAGATCCTCACCATAATTAAAAACACTTTTTAATAATGGCCATTTTAGGGCTGTCAAAGTTAATTACATCTGAAAAATAAATAAAAAGAACTATTCGCAAAATGATGCTATATTTTTTCTGTAAATGGATGTTTGAATGGAAAGATAAATGACAACATAGTGAACATATGTAATGTATTTGTTTATTATAACAACAATAAATCTGCATAAAATGGCTTTAACATTATTAAAATTCTTTCTGTAGTAGACACTATTTTGTTTCCTTTTTTGATCCTATTCATTATTGTGCCTCTTGCTGGGGGCTTGTAGGATGGGTCAAGGGACGCTACTCTCAATGTTTTAGCGAGACCCTTATCTTCAACTATGCTAATCGTCTCAGTCCAGTCAGGCCTGGAATGAGACTAAAACACTTTTTTCCCCATGTTTTTTAGAGGGTGTTTGTAGTTTCAACAATTGAGATAAAGTGCTATAGTCTACGTTACAAGAGAGTAATAAACATTCAGAGGCACAGACCAAAACTATTGTTTGTTACAGGGATGAGAATGGGACACTTCAACAAAGTTTGAAAGGGAGGATGTCATTAAATCTGTTTGATTTGCTCACTAAATTATACTTTTGGGCACAACCCAAAGGAAAAATTAGGTACCTCAGCTTTAATTTAGAGACACGGGACACTTCCTGAGGCGCCATAGTCCAGCTTCAGCAGTGTATTAATTGCGTGCACAGGTTACGCAAAGACACGAGAATTGTCCTGTGCGTGTGCATGGACTTGGCAGTAAACAACAGCAAGTGCCCCGCGGTCACACATGTATTCTTTTTAAACTTGAATTCCCAGAGGGCCTACCTGCTCTGTCGACATCTTACACATGCATGAGTCCACGGCATTCTGAGTGTTTTTATCGGATGCATGAGCGTGTAATTCGACACAAATGCGTTAAATGCGTAAATTTTTCTAACGCGATTAATTAATTGGGCGGCACGGTGGCTGAGTGGATAGCACTCTCGCCTCTCAGCAAGAAGGTCCTGGGTTCGAATCCCGGTCGGACCAGGGCCTTTCTGAGTGGAGTTTGCATGTTCTCCCCGTGTCTGCGTAGGTTTCCTCCGGGTACTCCGGTTTCCCCTACCACTAAAAATATGTCCAATAGTTCTGGCATGTGCCTCCTGTACTAGCCCCGCTCCCATCTCTGTGTGGAGTGAGAGACAAATGCCCAAAATTAACAATTGTAAACCGCTTTGAGACTCAGATCTGCAGTGAAAAGGCGGTATATAAATAAAAACTTACTAACTTACTTACTAATGAAAACAATTGATCAACGTGTGTTAAAGCAATAATTTTGACAGCCCTAATATAAAGACAAAGTAATTGTTGATTAATAATCGAACCCACAGAGAATACATTTTACCTCAACGTCTACATTAGGGGAGCTTTCTCGAGGGTCGTAATCATACAGCGCTACCATTCTCCGTGAAGCCTGGTCGCGGCGAAGGCCTTTTCTGTTGTGCTCTGTAGTTACAAAGCAGGCAATGTCAATTTATATGCATTTTGAATAGGATATGTGAGGATTAAAATGTACCTAATCGATCTGCGGGAGTGCTGAGGGGAAGAAATCCCTGTTTCATGAGTTGGTCCATGGTTTCCTCATCCTCTGCGCGAATCTCAGACACCATATTACAAGGAATGAGCCCCATCCGGCCCCTCATCTCTCCTCTGTAGAAACCATCTGTGTCTTTATCTCCATAGATCTGAGAAATATATCAAGATGTATTGGATATGTTCTAATGAGGTAAAAGAGGAAAACAATAAAATAAAACATGTAAACATCATCGTATTGACTGTGAATGGATTGAAAAGGTTAGGTTTATGTTCTGAATTCCTGTTTCAGTTTGAGGGCAGATTCCAATTCAACTCAATGGGCACAAAGCATTTTATGAAAGAAATGTTGAAAATGAAAACAAAATATATTTTCCATGCTCATTGTTTGATTGGGATTAGATTCACAAACCTTCCATATTTGTTCTGATGTCTGAAAGTCCAGGAACTACCGCACAATGAGCTGGTCTGACATTTAAGAATTAAGAAAAGAAGAAGCTGCCCTCCACAACTATTTTAAAACGTATAGGCTCCCACAAACACTACCTTTAAAAAACAGTCAAGTTCAAAATTTGGTTTGTAAGCCTACTTAAGTGTTAGTTGCGTTACAGCTTTGATACTTGATTTAAAAAAAAACATGCTTGTCTTTTTAAATGAACACTTTGATGAGACATAATCACTCAAAATAATTACAAAGTACATGAATGATAATTAAACTGAAAATCAGACTGATACCCTGATGATCTGTCCTTCTTTAAAGGGGAGTTCCTCGTCTGCGGCATCAGGATTTGGCGACATAGACAAAGGGTCATAGTCAAAGAGGGCCACAAATATTCGGAAAGGCTCTTCGGGCTCGGACTCGTCGTAATAAGGTGAGCGGCGATCTCGTTCCCTGTAGCCATCTGAAACACGAGGAAAAACAATGATTGAGAAATAGTCAATTAAGTCTGTCCATTCACATACTATGGGTGCGTTCACACTTGGTCCAATTGAAGCAAACGGCTCTTAACCTGGGACTAATCACGTTAACATTTGTAGAGATGAAATAGCTCCAAACAAGTGTGCACCGAGGTCAGTTCACTTTTGAAACACATCAGCAACGTTATGAGGACTGCTGCCAGTGCTGCTGAGAACTGAGTCCAGTGGACAAATAAGTGTGAACGTGCCCAACACTTGCATGCAAATTTATCACTAATATCATCATTTTGAGTATTTATATACCCATAAAAATGCAACCTCTACAATATAGAATACCACTTAATACCAAGAATACCAAGGAATATCTGAATACATTCAAAACAAAACAAATGAGCAATCAGACAAACAGTGGTGCACACATTTAACACATTTAACTGTATTATGGGGATAATATCAGAAACACAAGACACATGCAAGTGACACATGGTATCTGCTGATTAAAGTTTATATAACGCAACTGTGTCACTTGCAAATAAACAAGCAAAATGGGAAACTACACTAGATGTTTTATTGTGATGCTTCGATGACATAAAAACAGCAGATGTCTTCTGCATCATCAACAAACATCCAGTATACACCTATAGTAGAAAATCTGTGAATGGGTATTGTCTAAAGCCAGTAGGTTTCCAAAGCATGCATAAAGCTCCAGTCACAAGTGTGGTGCGATTGTACCACCGGGGAAGGGGTTTATAGCAGGCATCTGGAGTTTTGTGCAGTGAGGCATTCTCTGTGCATGTTTCGTCCACAACTGTGGAAAATTCATCCCGAACCACAGGACTGGCTCGCCAGTGGCTCTATCATTTCAGTGCAGTGTATTCATGCTCTTCAACTGGAGGCAAAATAATAATATTTATTATTCATTGGAGGCAGGCACTGGCATGTGACCACAGCTCTTGGCCTCTGCTTGCTGTGCTGTGGTGCTTAAATCAGGACTGTGGGCAGCGGACGTACCATGGGAAGACCTGGCACTGCCCTTGTGCCTGCGGGAGACGCGTGTCCTGTGGCGGCCTTTGCCATAGTAAACATCATCAGTGACGGGGGTCAGTGTGCCCTCACTATTCTCAGAGGTAACCTCTACAGGAAACACCAAAGTCTGATCACGTCACAGAGAAAACTTCAAACTTCTGAGTAAAATATTCTAAAGTTCCTTGTTAGCTCTGAAGAATCTGGTCCTTCTGAGTAAGTACTTGTTTGTGTTCATCATTTTGACTGCATCATTTTCAGCAGAGCAATGGTATGGACATGGTTCATAAACACACAAGGACAAAAGGTTTATGAGATTTTAGACACAGTACAACACTATGGAACACAGGTTTTTCTGAGCTGGATCCCAATCGTCTGTACTGACCAATGGAGGGAACCATAAGGGGCCGTCTCTGAGGACAACCGTGGTGGACTCTTCGGCCTGGCTCGCGGTCATGTCGACCTGCATTGTTTCCCTGAAAGAGAGTTAGACAGGAGAAACATTCACAAACACTCAGGTGTCAATAGAGACTGGACAGTATCTGCACAATGTGTGTGAAGCCGTTGGAGACAAACTTGTACATACAGTATTGAAACAAACCATGCAGCGCTCACAGGCAGGCACACTATACACAGACGCAAACAGCAGACACAAACACAAGCACAATCCTGCAGATAATGATAATACTCAAGAATATTGCACATTTGTAGTGACAGTAATGACGTCTGTGTGAGGTGTGAAGATCAGTTCCTCTGTAACCTTTCTTTTGCAAAAATATTAAAATCTTTAGGGGATCAGGAGCAATGTCCACACACTGTTCAACAACTTGCAATTCATAAATTCAACGTTTTGTGGAACATACATCACTCTTCAGTTCCAGACAAGAATGTGGACATGGCCATAATCAAAATATGTATTTTGATCTCCACTGAACTGAAAAAAGCATGCATATAAAGCATTCACTTCTCTCATATTTCTGAAAATAAAATCAGAATTTCCTCTTAGATATGGCTTCTGTGGAATAATATGCAGATATAATTCGCACAGTATTCTATTTCAAACCTTTCAACCCATTGTTAGCAGCTATATTACTACTTCTACTTCTACTTGGTAGTAGTAGTTGCTTCCAAAGCGATATCTATCATGACATCCAAGTACAGTAGTACTCAGGGCAGCAGTTCATACTTGGAGCCTGTGCCATGTCTATAAACTGTTGGGTTGAGAGTAAGTGCAAACAACAGCACCTTGGGCGTGTTGTGCGAGTTGCGCCGGCGTCCTTCCTCCAGCTGCATCTCAGAGTACAGCTCCTCCTCATCCTCTTCCATGATGTCAGACAGGTCAGAGCCGCGGCTGCTCTCGCTGTGATACTCCTCATTGTGACTATAGTGAGGCTTTTGGCAGTCACACAAACAAACACAAACACACAGACATCATTGTGTAAGTCCACAGAAAAACATGCACACAATAATATGAGCGCACACAAAGGTGGACACAGAAGAGACGACAGACAGAGGGTGAAACGTGCACTACCCCGACATGCACATGCCCACACTCAAACACAGGAACACTGTGCACACAGTCTCCAACATAGAACTCGTGCAATCCTACTGCTCTTACCGGTCTTCCCAGCTCCGATCCTCTCAGGAACTCATCCACTGAGGGCCCCCTCCGTCGGCCGCGGCCAAAGCCTTCCTCATCCTCCTCCTCTTCATCAGAGTGGTGTGGGTGAAATGATGGGCCATGCTCTCCATATCTCCCTAGCCTCCTATCTCCCTGCTAACACAATCATAAGAAAAAGGAAGACAAACTTTACTCTTTGTTTAAAGCTTCTGTCACAGGGTCGAGTAGCCACCTGTTGTCATGGAGATAGCTTTTATTTCCTGTGAATTTACCTCATATGTAGTTACAGATGTTGTAAGGGTTAGAGCTTGTGTACCAGAGCCTGGCGCCGGGCCTTTAGGGTTAAGTTTAGGGTAAACCTGGGCTGAACCTGACACCGGACCATTTGGATGCACCTTCCTCTGAGCTTACCACCCACAGATTGATCCATAGGGATCAGGTGCAGAGAGGACTGAGTGGCGGTCAAAGCCGTAGTCTTCAACAACCCAATCCACACATGGAACCTCTGACGGTTGGGAACGTGGAACGTCACCTCACTGGGACAAAAGGAGCCTGAGCTCGTAGAGGAGGTTGAGAGATCTCAACTAGTGGTAGTCGGTCTCACCACTAGTCGAGCTCGGGCACTGGAACCCAACTCTTCGATAGGCGTTGGATACTTCTCAATGGCACTAGAGAGGACACTTAAACCAATAGTCGTATCTTGGATTCAGGAGGAACAGTGTGAGTTTTGGCCTGGCTGCAGAAGATTGGACCAGCTCTTTACCCTTCATCAAACACTCAAGGTATCATGGGAGTTCACCCATCCTTGTGGACCTGGAGAAGGCAATTGACTGTGCTCCCCCGGGAAGTCCTTTGAAGGGTTCACTGGGAGTACAGGGCCAGGAGCCGCATTGCCGGCAGTAAGTCAGACCTGTTCCTAATGCATGATGCCCTCCGGCAAGGCTGCCCTTTTCTGTTCACTGTTTGTATGTACAGAATTTCCAGGTGCAGCTAGGGCCAGAGACAGTCTGGTTTGGGGGCCACAGGATTTCATCCTTGCTGTTTGCAGACGATGTTGTCCTGTTGGCTCCAACAAACCAGGACAATCAACATCCACTCGGACGGTTTGAGTGTGAATCTATATAACATAATATTACACGACTGTAGAAGCAGGGCGAGCTCAAGTCGTTTTTAATGGCTTTCTTATGCTGTGAAAACCGTGTGGTGCTGCTGTATTGTATTATAAGCATCTCATATAAAGAATATAAACTATACCAAATTCGTTTTTTTCACATCTTATGCGAGACATTGCATCTAAAATCATCTTATGATAACATTATGATAGTGAACTCCATGATTGATTCCATTAAACCCAGAGAAGCGTATATTTAATGACAATCAGCCAACATATTAATATCAAATAATATTAATTAAATCTACAACATCTACAACATATTAATTCTTACCTTGCCACTTTCAGCTGCCACTCTTTGTGCTGCTTCTCTGGCAATAGCTTTGGCAACAGTATCTGGGATGAGTGTTCCACGTGGCTGCGGTAGGATCCGCTGTGGGGAAGGCGACCGAGGATTGGGGTGAGGAGGGGCTTCTAGAGTGTGGCCTTGGAGAGGTGGCTGCGCAGAGGGCGATCGCTGCGGGTCCCAGTTGGGCTGACCTCTGTGGTCTTTGGCTTCCAGGTCTCTGGCACTTACTGGTCTCTGAGGTACCGGGTGGGGTGCGTGCTGGGGGAGCAGAGGCAGTTGGTGCTGTGGCCGAGGACCCTGGTGAGGCGGATGTGACTGCAGATGCACTGGGTGTGGAGGTCGCATCTGCACTTGTGGGGGGCCCCCTGGATGAGGGAGCCTGGGGTGGGGTTGTGCATGGGGAGGAGGGGGAGGGCCCTGGAGCCGGGGGTCTCCATGAGGAGGGTGAGGACCCTGAAGCCGAGGGTCCCCATGAGGAGGGTGAGGGCCCTGATGCCGGGGATCTCCGTGAGGAGGTTGAGGGCCCTGAAGCCCAGGGTCTCCGTGAGGAGGATGAGGGCTCTGGAGCCGGGGGTCTCCATGAGGAGGATGAGGGCCCTGAAGCCGCGGGTCCCCATGAGGAGGGTGTGGGCCTGGGGGTGGCTGTCCTTGTGATAAAGGAGGTCCCGGTAGTTGTGGCTGGGGGTGAGGGAGGTGTTGGGGTTGAGGGTGAGGGAGGTGTTGTGGTTGAGGGTGAGGGAGGTGTGGTGACTGAAGGTGCGGCAAGGCGTGAGGCGGGGGGCCTGGGTGGGCATGCATTGGCATCGGGGGCGGCAGAGCCAGTTGAGGGGGTGGCACAACAAGCAGGTTGTTTGGAATGACAGCGACTTGGGAGTCCTGGGACTCTCCCTGTAAAGACAGTGTCCGGACAATAACTTCCCTCGCTTCCAGGCACTGGATCCTGTTCAGCTCAACGCTGACATAGTCTGCCATAGGGAACATGACCTCAGCAATCTGAGGGGGAAAAAACATTGTTTTTATTGGTTTTAGGGTTATTCAAAACAACAAAAGCATTGTCCTAAAATTGTAACACAGGGCAGCCACAAAATGCAGCTTTAATGGATGAAACACTTACACTGTTCATGAAAACTAAATTTAGGTTATATTGTGCTTGCATTTTATATGTTTCAACCTTTCTTTCTTTATACCTTAAAACATTAAACATTTCTGCCACAAGAGGGTGTGAGAGGGCTTTCAATTTTGCATGCATTGACTTGTACAGCTAATAAAACGCAGGTAGGTGGCAGTACAGTGTGGATTTCCAAATCTGATGACAATATGCTTTCTAAAGTCAAATATTTAAACATGAATTTTTTGTATAATATGATAGAAAATGTTTTAAATGTTTTCAAGAGTCATGCACACTCTCATACAGACTCTCTCACCTTCTGCCCTTTTGTGCATACAACGTAACCAATGACATTAGCTCCATTGGAGGTACCAGCGGGGGAGAGCATGGGGGGCTTCCAACGAACTTGCAAGACCCCTGGGGCTTGCCCACATTGCACCTGTACATCCTGCGGTGGTAGAGGTGGGCCTGCATTGTCAGAAAACACCCATCAGACATGCATCATTCAACAGCTGTTAGAAACATTCTAATTACCCTAACCTCCACAGGCTCAAATTATTGGGGTAACATGTTAAACCAAAACAAAAGGGGAAATACAAGCATGCACAAGACACATTGGTGAAAATGTAAAAATAAAATAAGTAGCCTAAATAACTACATTTTAGCCTAAATAACTATATTTTCTTAGGAGGCACATTTAGACTTTGATTTCAGATAAACACATTCTTGTTTAAGATTTCATCATAACACTTTAGCACTGAATTACTATATCCCGAGATTCTTTATTTGAGGCTTCCCCAAGCACCAATGTCACTGCATGCAGGACAGACTAACAGACTAACAGACAGACTACAGGCTGTGCTTTCTCTCTGGACTCACTGGACTCAACATGCACTTCTGCTTTCATGCAGAAACTGGTGCACACAGATATATGATGTGATTTAATGAGGTGTTTTTAAAAGTTGAACTGCATCTCTTTAGCTTAAAGGGATCTTTAAAATGTGTGTATTGTGTGATTTTATGGAGTGGTTTTAAATGTGATTTTTAGCATGCCACTAAAAATGCCACCATTTTTTTTTACATAAGAAACTAATGTAGTTATTCTTCTGCAAACTAAATACTACAGGAGTTTTTATGTTGTATTTAGTAATGAACCCATATTGATATATTACTCTGACCTGTTCTGCAAAATAGAATCGGACCTAGACAAAATACACAACATACAAGACATAATAAGACAGTGTTCTGTGAATGTGTTTCAGCAATGCACCTATCATAACTCTTTTATGTTTGGATCATGACAAACCTGCTGCTTGTGTGCAGAACTCCACTCCAGCCTCTTTCCTCTCTCTCTGCTCGAGAGGCAGTTGCCATGGCACCTGGTGCGGCTGTGCCACCACAATCACTTTATAGACTGTGAGGGGCTTCAAGTTGTGAAAACGTAATCTGTTTCTTCCAGCTTTTACCACGGCATGCTCCACCCCGTCTAAAAACACTGTGTGAGCATAGTTACTGTTACTTGGCAACCAAGAGACCTCAGCAGTGTCCCGCTGGATGTCATCCACACGCAGTCCAGAAGGCGCCACCACGACGTTGGCCCCAACCAGTAAAGTGCAGCGCAGCTCATCAGAAAAGCCTCTGTCAGTGACACACTGTACACACACGCGGTGAACACAGCCGTCCAGATCTAACTTCTCCAGAAGACACTTGGTTCTGCCGCCATATTGGACACTAGCACGAAGTTCGCCATCAATCAATACATTGTATCCAGAGATGTTCCCCCAGCCCAAAGGCACTATTGGAGGTTCCCAGGCCACTATGACGCTGCGTGCCAGCTGTTTTATCAAATTAATCTTACGGGGATAAGGCACTACATCTTCGGCCAGGTCCTCAGGGTCCAGGGTCTCTCCTGTCCCATTGCTACATGGGACCAAGGCTTTGCATGAGCTCAAGAGGCCCTCCTGTGATGAACAACTGTCCACTGCAATAATACTGAGGGCTGATGAATGGTCCAGTGATCCCAGATCCTCTCCTCTTTCGCCTGCTGCTGGTTTATCTTTGTCTTGCACAAACTCCACAAAATTGGAAGGGACAAGTCCTCGTTGGCCATCCAGCAGCTCTCCTAGGGAAGTATTAAAACATAGTCAGTGTAGATTTGCTTATTTCATGTGCAAGCCTTATAGTTGTACATGACTAGAACATACTGTATACGTATAAACTAAGGTAGCCTACTCTGAGCAAGAGTATACAATTCTAAAATGGAGGGTTTTCCTCTTGGGCGTTCCTTAAAAAACTAGTTTGAGGGAACAGTTTAGGGGCCCTCCTTGTTTGTCAATAATGTTTTCCCTAAAGACACAGAGGCCATCTGTGATCTGTGTGTGACTATGCATTTGCGATCTGAGTCGTATATGTGTGCACATGATTAAACTGTCATCAGAATAAAAGCGACCAAGGTCTCATCTTGACAACAGCTTGGGCTGAAGTCTGCTTTTCTCTCTCATCATGACACAAGGCTCCTCCACAATGCCATGTTACTTCACCGCCCACGGCTAATGAATCACTGCAGATGAGTTGTACTATGTCTTCTTTGCAAAAGGATGCCTGGATTGCTTGCTGTACGGATTACGCTTGATTAGAGAGATTAGTTATATCACGCATTAGTTGAGACTCATACAAAAAAAGTCAATTAACAAGAACTAAATGCAAAAATAGTACAATATGTCAGATTTTAAATACATCTAACAAATCTATGGAACTCAAATTCCAAACTGAAATAGGGTTTTAATATATCACTTATTCTTACCTTCATAAAACCCATCATCATCCATGTTGCCATAAATATACAGATACTTCCCAGCCACAAGTGGGAGTTCTGCTTCAGGATGATCATTTGGTCCATCATACGGATTATAACTGAAATACAAAGAATCAAATCTATGAGCAGTTGAAACCTGAGATTTGCATACACCTAAAAATGTAACCCTAACCATGACCATGTTGGCTGATGTCTTGAGATGTTTAAAAATATCCTCAGCATTTTTTGTTCATACTATTGAATCTTTATGCTCTTCAGCGTTAAGTTGGTTCATATTGCACTATTATTTCACTGATGTACTTCTACACATCCACAGATGTGCCTCCAATTATCTCAAATACCATCAGTAGCTTTTAAAGTTATGACCTAATACTGTGTATGTGCTCCTGACTAAGTAGAAAGAAATATTTCTATAAAATAACCTCTCAATATTGTTTTCATGTCTTCAAAACTTGAGTCTGTACCTGTAACGGGCAGTGCAGAGACGGACCTGTCCTGTGTAGCGCGGTTTGGACCTGGGAGCTGGGCTGGCCTCCTCCTCCATCTAAAAATAAATAAGAAAAATATGCTGGATAATTAAGTTAGTAAGTAAGTAATGTTTTATCTATATAGTGCATATTACAGACCAAGGTCACCCAAAGCACTTTACAATGTTCAGAGAACAGATATTGTTCCAATCATTCCACACACGGTGAGGACAGGAGCAAGAATCAAAGCCTCCAATCAACACCATGCATTCACTCACTCATAATACATGTAATCGTCATTTTACACTAATTTTATACATGCAGTAGCCAGATATGTGAGACGTACCTCGGAGGAGGAAGGCTGTCGTGGGCTGCCGGGCTGAGCCGTGATCACGGTGTGTTGCTTGAGGGACAACAGCTCTGCTCTTTGTTGGTTTCCAGTCTGAACAACTCGTTGACTCAGGATAGATCAGTGGCAGCCTGGCCACATTCTCATTTCCTACAAGACAGAAATTTTATATATAAAACTTTTTGTCTGTACTGTGCATACATATGTATGTACAGTACAGACAAAAAGTTTGGACACACCTTCTCATTCAAAGAGTTTTTTATTGTCATGATTATGAAAATTGTAGATTCACACGGAAGGCATCAAAAGTCATGTGGAATTATGTACGCACAAAAAAAAGTATGAAACAACTGAAAATTCATCCATCCAGTACACAGAGCACCAGCCTCTCACTGATCCTCATGCAGATGGTGAGTCCACAGGAGGCCTAACCTTTCACCGGGGGCTTCAGGTAAAGTGGGGTGAGCTGGACCACAGAGTGAAGGCAAAAAGGCCAACAAGCGCTAAGCATCTCTGGGAGCTCCTTCAAGACTGTTGGAAGACCATTTCAGGTCACTACCTCTTGAAGCTCATCAAGAGAATGCCAAGAGTGTGCGAAGCAGTGATCAGAGCAAAATGTGCTAGTTTGAAGAACCGAGAATATAAGACATATTTTCAGTTGTTTCATACTTTTTTTTAGTGCGTACATAATTCCTCATGAGTTAATTCAGAGTTGTGATGCCTTCAGTGTGAATCTACAATTTTCATAAACATGAAGATAAAAAATCTTGTAAATCTGTTACAATGTAAATGGGAAAATTGAGGATTTATAACACTTCCACAGTGCTTTATCTTGTATGTGTGACACTAGTACTGTACTGAGAGAATACTGAGGGTTTTTTATAGCCTGTATGCCATACATATGGCCTGTGAACGATTAAGGAAGATATTGATCACGTAGAAGTGGCGTTCCTTTAATGGGATCCAGCCTGGGTCAGGAGAGGCCTAGGGTGCTGAGCATGAGCTCATTCTCATCATAAGCCTTCTGATCAGATGTGATTAGAAGAACCATTTCATCCTTGACGGTCTTTAAAAGACTGCATACAAGGCATTTAGAGTCGTTTGATAACAACAAAAAATGGTCACAGAAGACATGCAACTCTTTTGCTGCTGTTTCGCTGCAATCATTATTTCGAGCCTTTTGAAGAGGAATTACTTCCAGCAAATACAATTCTAGCAGCGCTTTGGACAAATGCAGGCTGGTCTCACTATGTAGGTGATAATTGTGCTTTGGGACATACTTGGACTACGACAGACAACAGGGACAATGACGAAACAAAAATTAGGTATTTGCTTACGTGACTTTTTATTTTACATCTTACTGCTGATTAAAGATAAAAGCAGCTGAAATAAGATTCCTACAGGAAACGTTTTTCTTAGGGCAGCATGTTGGGTGGAGGTTGTTCAATCCTAACATAACCACGCAGAAGATCATTTTGAAACTTGATAACACAGCAAATTGTGAATAAGTATTTAATATTTCTAAAGGAAGCAGAAGTCAAAGTTAGTAAAAAGAATAATTACTTTGGGCAATGTTTAGATTTAAGAAAATACATGAAACATGTTGTTATTTGCATGGATTCAAGGAACAAAGGTTTAATGTCTAAATGCCATCTTGCTGTTCATTACATGAACAGAAATACCTGATGAGATATTCTGCTCTTAAAGAAAAAATAATAATGACAAAATTATTCATATTAAACAAAATATATGCAAAAAATATTTTCAAAGGGCGGCTCAGCTTGACCCGGTCACAAGAGTCAAGTGGAGTCTCAGTATATTTGTCAAAAAAGAGTGTTTAAGTACACAAAGAGGTACATGTTACAATTATTCTTAAGTGAACAGACATTCACAGCTGGGCCGCTGTGTGAAAAAGAACGCCTATATATGGCTCCATTTGTTTGTTATTATTGCATTTCCTGTTTTCAAATGGATTCATTCACTGATGCGTTGTCCGGCAAATCAACAAACGGCCGCTGTTGTGACTTAGTTCTATACAAAAAAAATGTAACTGAAATTGAGTTGAATCAAACAATTTTTTTTCTGGGGCCCCCAGGAGCCAGGCCGGGGGCTGGGGCTTTGCCCATGGGGCCCACCTAGCTGTGGGTCTACCACCCACAGAGGAATCCATGGGGGCAGAGTGCAGAGAGGAATGGGCGGCAGTCGAAGTCGGAGACCTTGGCGACCCAGTCCACACACACAACATCTGGCTCTTGGGGCATCACTTCCCTGGGGGGAAGGAGTCTGAGCTCGTGGGGGAGGTTGAGAGATACCGACTAAACATAGTTGGCCTCACCTCCACACAAAGCTTGGGCTGTTTCTCACAGGGAGAGGCGGCGAGTGGAGGTGGCCATACTCATTGCCCCCCATCTCAGCCGCCGGCCCGTAGGGTCGCAGTAGTGCAGGGTACTCTTCTTGGAGTCCTTGGGAGGGGTGCTGGATGGTGCATCAACTCCATTCTTCTCTTGGGGGACTGTGGGATATGCCATTGACACTTGGTATCACAGAAGTGATAGTCACAGATTGTTCATAATAAGTAAGTAAGTAAGTAAGCTTTTATTTATATACCGCCTTTTCACTGCACATCGGAGTCTCAAAGCGGTTTACAATTGTTGGGTGGGGGTCGCCAGTACAGGAGGCACATGCCATACCTATTGTACATATTTTTAGTGGTAGGGGAAACCGGAGCACCCGGAGGAAACCTACGCAGACACGGGGAGAACATGCAAACTCCACTCAGAAAGGCCCTGGTCCAACCGGGATTCGAACCCAGGACCTTCTTGCTGAGAGGCGAGAGTGCTATCCACTCAGCCACCGTGCCGCCTAAATAAACACCATGTTTGAGCACAAGGATGTCCACAAGGGCTCGCAGGTACCAGGACACCCTAGCCTGGAACTTGATAATCAACTTTGTTGTTGTGTCATCTGACCGTTGGTCGCGTGTCTCGGACACTCGGGTGAAGAGAGAGGCGGAGCTGTCAACTGATCACCACCTGGTTGTGAGTTGGATCCGCTGGCAGGAGAGGAAGCCGGTCAGACCAGGCAGACCCAAGCATGTAGTGACGGTCTCCTGGGAACCTGAGCCCCCCCCTTTAGATGGACTTTCAACTCAGAGGAGGAGCTGGACTTTGAGTCCAAGAGGACCATGTTATCCACCTCCTACACCGTTGCGGCAGCACATAGCTGTGGCTGCAAGGGGGCTGGTGCTGGTCCCGACAGCAACCCCTGAACCAGGTGGTGGACACCGATAGTAAGGGATTCCATCAGGCTTAAGAAGGAGTCCTATCAAGCCATGATGCTTCGTGGGACTCCTGAGGGAGCTGTCCAGTGCCTCAGGAGCTGGAAGCAGTCCTTTACCAACACCATATACATTGCAGGTGGAGAGCTGCTGACCTCAACTGGGGATATTGTTGGGCAGTAGAAGAAATACTTTGATGTTCTCCTCAATCTCCTCGTCATGTCCTCTGTCCCGGAGGCAGAGACTGAGGATGCTCTGCTGGATACTCCCATTTTCCCTGGTAGAAGTCACCGAGATTGTTGGCTGTTGTTCATATCGGTCAGACCTGTTCCTGGGAGAAGTTGGCCTCTACCAGGACTGCCCTTTTTAGCTGGTTCTATTCACTGTCTACATTTTCCATATGCAGCCAGGGATCGGAGGGGTCCAGTTCGAAGACCGCAGGATTACATCTCTTTTGTTTGCAGACGATGACTTCCTGTTGGCTCCAATGAACCAGGACCTGCAACATGCACTGGGACATTTTGCAGCCGAGTGTGAAGAGGGTGGGGATGAGAATCAGCACCTCCAAATCTGAGACCAGAAAAAGGTGCCTTGAGCTCTCCAGGTGGCTGGAGAAGTCCCTCAAGTGTAGGAGTACCAGTATCTTGGGGGCCTTGAGTGAGTGATGCGGTTGTTGTATCAAACCGTTGTGGTGAAGAGGGAGGGCTTTGTCAAAAGCCAAAGCTCTTCATTCACCAGTCAATCTTTGTTCCCTTCCTCACCTATGGTCATGAGCTTTGAGTAATGACTAAAGAACAACATTGTGGATACAAGCGGTCGCAATTACCTTCCCCCACAGAGCGGCTGGGCACTCTGGGTATATGGTAGAAAATCGTAATTTTACACGTCTGAACACGTGCCCTTTTCTGCATGTGTACAGACAAATGAATGGAACAAAGTCTTGATAAAATCACACATTTATTAAAAAGCAAAGTAAACTGCAAAACCAACCATTTACAAAGTCCAAAGTACGCATGTCTCTTGAGACCAGGTCCAGATGAGGGGAATGTTAAAGAGCAACTAAACACCAAATCAACTTATTTTAACTCATAAACTGCATAAATATGTTTTTATGCTCTCTACATATCCTGGTCATTTTTTTTGACATTTTAGTGCAAAATAGATAAAATCTCACTTTTGAGCCTAAACACGTCTGTGTGGCGCCCTCTCAACCTTTTCGGTGGTACTACATTTGAAGTTGGTCCTGGCCTCTCCATTGACTCTGTAATTCTGTGTGACGTCAGTTGGTATGTGTGTATGTTTATATCACTGTCTGCACCAGTGATATAAACCCATCCAACTCTCACATACACACAGCAGCAGGTTGGAGTATTCTGGCGACATCTAGTGGATTAATATTAAATTACATGAGTTGACAACCACTGCTGCTGAGATGGCTTGGGTTCAGGTGTGTAGCTTTACAATTATCTTAGTGTGTAAACAAGGGTGGAATGAGACTTTCTGGTCTGTAAACTATTGCTTTAAGCAGAAATGACAACTGTCTGTTTTCGTTCGTGTGACAAGTGAGCTGTCAATCACAGCCCAGACCACGCCCAACTCTAAGCCCCCCTTCTTGTCCCTTGGTCCTCCAGGCAACGCCCATCCATCCATCCATCCATTTTCTACCCTTTAATCCATTTCTGGGTCAGGGGGGTGACAGTCAGAGATGCCACCCAAGTCTCATAGCACCAGCCCCTCACTGATCCTCTGCAGGTGGTGAGTCCACAGGAGGACGGCTGCTCTCCGAGTGTGAGCATAGCCTTGATCTTTCAGTGGGGGCTTTGGGCAAAGTGGGGTTAAGTGTCTTGCCCAAGGACACAACGACAGCAGTCATCAGTGGGAGTCAGTGGAGAAGGTGCAGGGGTGGGAAATGAACCCACGACCTTCTGGGCTTAAGGCCAATGCTCTACCAACTGAGCTACTGTCGCCCCACCCTGGGCACAGGTGTTTAGTCGCTCTTTAAGTACTCCGGTCATTCATTGCTTGTTGGTAATTTCCTCACTTTTCAGAAGGGATTCTAAAACAAATAGATATACACACAAAAACTTAAGTACAAGCACAAAACAAAATGGCAACACATTGAATAGCAAGATACGGCACACTAGCACAGGAAGGATGTTTTAGCTTAGCTTGCTATCGATAGCTAAATGTAGCTCACTGTGTACAACAGACAATCAAACATTTACACCGGTAAATACACTTGAGTGAGAGCTTTGCGGGTACAAAGCTAAGTTATTTCCAGGATTACCACAGACTAGTAACAAATCAAGAGCTGGGCGATCTCCCTAAAAACCTTCTTGTTCTGTGTTGTGCATTTGAGCTGCCTTTGAATTCTTTCTTCGGCCGAAGGAAAGTAACATGTGGACCTCGTCGACCGACCAGGATGCTGACTTTTGGGGCTTTCTTCGCGATTACATTTCTCTCGAATGAGGACGTGTTGTAGCCATGGATCTATTATAATAACGGGTTGTAGCAGAGCAGCTGGTTTCAAAGATGGCGGGGTTGAGTTGTGTTTACCGTAGGGTCGGACGTCGCTTCCAGTGACGACACTTGTTGGCTAATCAGTGTAAGGCAGTCGGCTGACGTCACGTTCTGGTGTAGCTTTGGCACGGTTGGAACCACTGTCGAGGTGATACAAAAAAAGTACCATGATCCCAAGCCCCCAGAAATGCAAAATAACCGCGCCGTGCCGTACCGTGACTATGGAAAAGCGGCATAAGTCTCTCATCTCAGCTTAGATTGCTGCACCTGGCAATGGATGGATGGACTGTAAGCCATGTTAATGAGTAAATATTGTAAATTTGAGTTTCACGCTACTTTTGAACAGTATTCTAAATATCTTAGTTTCCCCTGTATTTGTTTACCGATACTGTCTGTGAAGTCAATGGGTACTCCACGGAATTATGAAACAAGTGTGCCCAAATCATCAAACATTGATGCATTTTTCACTGTTTTCTCGTTG